TCTTGCAAACACTTCTGCATGTCAGTAACTTTTTCATGCAAGCAGCCTGCTCACGTGAGTAAAATTAACTGTGTGAGAGATGTGAAGGTTCAAGCCTTACAGTGTGTACATCCACTCAAAGCCATTGCATTCTTTACTGTCCTTCTTTGATCTTTAGTAGCAAAAAGCATATTTAGGCACATCAGTACAAATTTAATAGTAACTATAATCACTGTGATAAGTCATTCTAGTGTTTAAGAACATAACTAATCAATTTGGGATAGGAAGAACTGCTTAACAATTAAGTATTGTACAACCGGTTGCATTATATTGCCTTCATGGATGCACCTGGAATTGGCCTCAGTGGAGAGATGTTAACTAGAGAATGTGGGAACTGAAATTCCTATCACTGTCAGCTAGCTGTAGAAAACTCATATTGTACTGTGCTGCCAACTTCATTCACTTGGAAAATGGAGATGAAATTCTGTTTTCTGCTCCCTAGGTAAATCCTGATTCTAAAAAGGTGCCTGTTTTAACTCTTTCCATATTTCTGTTTCCAGTGCTGCTTAAACTGCAGTAGCATATAAAAGTTCAAATATTAAGTATGCATGTTTTCCTAAATAGTTTTGGACAATTTAAAGTTCTGTGTGGGGTAGTAATTGCTGTTCACCTTTGTCTGCTTGTCAAGTCAGTTTGGRTCTGTATGGCTAGCTCATCAGGACCATTGGGAGCTCCAGAGATGATAGAGAAGCTCAGACAAATGAGCCAGGTGCTGTGGACCCAACCACACATGGAGAAACAAGGGTGATTGGAGTAAGGTAGATGTACTTAAGCAAAAGAGTCTGAGATCTGTGGATAAAATCTGTTTAAGAACCTTCTGGAGGACATGCATCTTGAGACAAGACCTTGGAGGCCAACTTGGAGAGTGATATTGTCCCAGAGGAGCTATTTAACATAAAATTTATGATAAAGGCTCTTTCTGGCCTTGTCAACCCTCACTTGTTAAAAGGAAAAGGACTCCCTCTGTTCAGAGTTAAGTAGCACGACGGTTTCTTTTGTTCAAAAACTGTAAGTCGACATATCATTCTAAGCAAGCTTCAGCAGCCTCTTGTTTCACTACCAACTGGAATTTGGTGAATAAAGTATGATTAATGGCTTCTACAAACCTCTGGAWGGACACCCAAAAGAGAAGAATAATACAGTTGCAGCATTACAAGTCAGCAGCATATTTAACGTTATTATTCTTTGCTTAGGAAAGGATTTCCTGTTGAGGGCCTGAAGAAAAATAAGTTTCATTAGTTGAGCGTCGAGCAGAGATAGAGCACCAGGATTGATTGTAATAAGCCTCTTCTTTTTACCAAAATCCATTACTTTCTGAGCTATTAAGTGATGAAAGGGATTAAGAGAATAAAAAAACACAAGCGGGACTGTATTCGTAAATCTAATAAAGTTGATAACGGTAGAGCATTTTGTGAAATTTGCATGTGAATTTATAATGTCCTAATCCATCGGCAGGCAGCGTCGTACCGCAGAGGGGAGGGGGTGCACTGTGCGTGCAGGATAAAAATGCAAGAGCGGGATTTCTGGCCAAGGAGCCTTTTTTCCATATGGATATCCATATGTTTTATCACCGATTCCATACTTTTGGTGCCAGCATCCATATGTTTAGCTTTTGCTCAAATAAAAGACTAAAATCATTCTTCATTATCTCTTTCTAGCTGGTGTTTTTGTGGACATAACTAAATGTGATGCTGGATGTTTGAGGCATACGCAGATATGATGCAGTCGGATATCATCCCAGGTGTTTAAAAACAGTACCCTGGGAATTCGAGGGCTGGGTTATCTTCTGAGCCTAATGCCCCTTGACAGTGTGTGAGCAGTGTGGGGGGTGCTATCACCTGACTGCCAAGGCCCAGCAAAGGCTTTTCCCTACAAAGAGATGCTCCTTTGGGAGCAGCCATGGGGTTTTTCTTGTGTTTGTTTTGAATTCCCCACCTGCACCTCGGCTTTTGTGCCTCTGCTGAGGAGGTGGGTGAGGCAGGGAGGTGACGGGACAGGGCTTCATCCTCCTTCCCCAATCTCTGCTTCTTGCCCAAGGCCTCCAATTGGTGGAATAGCAGCAGAATTTAGAAGTGCTGATACAGGGAATTTGGGGTTGGCTGGGAGGGTGGTGTGTTGCCATCTCCTTGATGTGACCCAGTCTCGTCTCTGCCAAGTAGATATCGCTCAATGAGAATTGTGCCCAGTAGTTTCCTTTTTCTTTTTTTTATTTTCATGCTTTTTTTCAGGGAAATACTGAAGTAATGCTTGTAAAGATATAAAACATTACTCTGTACATGGTTAGCCCTTGGTCTAGATACAAAATAACCATCAACCAGCCTGCATGTTGGCTATTTAATTGGATTCCTTTTCTGCTTGGACTTCCAATCCTTAAATTTTTTTGCTGGGACATTGTACAGCAGGAGAGCAGTTGTGCTACCTACTGCACTTTGGAGTATGATTACCTACCAGCAGGCTCTGGCTCTGCTGTGGGTTTTTTAACCTGCAGACTGGATAAGGAATACCCTGTAATTTTGAACAGGAAAAATAGGATAGTCATAACCAACAAGCATTGCAGTACACGGTTCTGAACAAAAGGCAGCAATGTGAATTCACGTTTCCTGCTGCTAGTGCCTGAAATGTGAAGCTGAGGTAGGTTTGAAGGTGTGACTTAGCCTCTCCTCTGCTTTCCAGACAAGAGTGGAAATTACTGAGGTTATTAACCATTGTGCAAGGAGCTGTATTATCTTTCCTGTAGAAGAAGGAACAATGACCTTCCTTGAATGAATGAAACAGTAGCACCTTGACTTTAGAGCGGAGGCAACAAACGTGATAACTCTGCAGAAGTAGCCCTGTCTCGCATGTACTCATTATATTAATTTTCAAGCTACCCCCACCGTTACTAGAGACAAAAGCAAAACTCACCATTGATAGAAGTCAAACTAGATGTGGGCTCCTGACGCTGTCTGTGCAGAAGCTTTGGAGAAAGTGTCATCCTTTAGGGGCTGAAATGAGTTTGTGTTTTAGCAGAAACAATCTGTCACTTTTCAGCTCTGCTTTCCTTTCTCAGGGATGTGGATCTGGCAAGGTCTGTGGCAGGTTGGTAGTGAATTGCTAGGTGCAAGTTACCTCGTGGGTCTTGATTGATCATGTGGCAAGGCCTTGTTCAGAATAGATGGCTCATGCGGTGTGCTTGACATGTGACRACCTTCTGCAGGCAGCAGTTCCTGGGCCTAAGAGTCGGACGTGCCCATTCAACCTTCCTTGGCTGCCTGGTCAATGTATGCATCCAAGCCATCTCTGCTGGGGACCTCTCAGTATGAGGAGCTTGTCTTTTGACCCCCAGGTTGGCAAGAGGTTGGCGGTCATTTACTCCTACAGAAATGTGTGGAGGATATTCTGACCAGTAAAGCTGAGTGGCAAGAAAACTGCAGGTGGTGCCTTTTCTCCTTTCAGAAATGATTCTTATGTGAAAATGCTGGGAGTTGTTTTGGGTGTTTTTCCTTCTGTTCGTRTTAGAATACAAGATTGAATTTATTTTAAGATTCTTTAGGGCAGCATTGCATTCCTTCCACTGTTCTATTCCCTACCACATTACCTCACCACATTAGCGCTTGTATCTCCCTCTGATGGCATCCAGTTTCCATTCCATTCACAGTGGCCAAGGATCATATCTCTGATCCACTTAGAAACACAATGATCTCTACCCCTGAGAATGCAAACGCTTTCTCAGTCAAATCTATTGATCTACAGAGCTCTATTTCTGGCTTTCCATTCACTCACTTGATGCTTGGGATGCTGGATATTCTTTCTGGGGAAAGAGTTAACGTGGTTACTAGGAACTCTACGAAGAGCAGTTCTGCAGAATCCAAAGATAGAAGTGATCTTTTATATACATTTGTGAGTGAGWGTGTGCATGCATACTGCACTTCTTAACAGAGCAAAATTAAAGCCTGCAGCCAGCAGTGCGCCAGCTCTGTGACAGTGACAGAGCCAAGTGTGGCATTGCATTCTTATTTCAAAGCTGTTTCATTGAGGATGATGATGTTAAATTGAAACAGGCAAGCACCAGCTGACTGCTGTGAGGGAGGAGGTAAACAGTTTATGCAAAAAGTCTCTAAGCTGGGAAGTTCATAAACCRAAAGACCAGCGGGTAAGGGCATTGGATATGCAGAACAGAGCAGCCTGCCAAGCACACCAAATCAGTGAAAGAGCTCTGAGTGCAGACTGAAATTTTCTTAAGAGCCTTGCTGCCTGGACAGCCTAGATCCTTGTGAACATGATGGACTGTGACCTGTAAGGGGGCTCACTGAAGTTTGTAGATGAGTCCAGATCCCTGGATCTGGACCTTGCTGGCCCTCTTAAGCTCAGAGGGAAGTATTCACGGCTGCTGTGAGAAGTGTGGTCGAAAAGAAGAGATTTGTGGGCTGAGTATTCCAAGCCTCTTTCTCTAGCTGATGGATCGAAATAGGCTTCTCCAGGAGTCGAGCCTAATGCGTTTTGAATGATCCTCAGCACTGCTCATTTTCCTTCACTGTTGACACAGAGACTACAGAGCCAATAGGTCTATGCACCTAACTTTGGCTTTTGAAGCATTCAAAGATGCTTGCCATCAGCCTGAAATAGGATTTTGTTTCCTAAAATGCTTAGGACCAGGGTTTTCGGGTATTGTTCAGCACCAACCTTGAAGTCACGTTTAAAAGAAATTCAGGCACCACAATGTAGAGTGAGCTATGCCTGACTTAGTTAAATTATCTAGACTCCAGACAGTTTCAAAAATATTACCTGTAACTCATGCCTTCTGGGTTATAGCTGAACACCCTGTTTTCTCTACTTGTACGTGACAAATGAAACAACTATTTGTGTGCAGGGTGTATGTGATGTGGGTGCATATACACACATCTGTGCCTTTTTATACTGCTTTTAAGCAATCATGTATTCTAAGAATATTTTTATTATTTAACATTTATGCTGTTAGGATGCTGTAGTTAACCTGGCCAGGTCTCGATTGCCTTGCTTGCTGTGTAGCCAACGTTTCCTGCCCCTCGTGGTGTCCAGGGTAAGAACCGCTGCAGCGTAGGTAAGTCRAACGGGCAGGCAGAAACGCAAAAGTAAAGGGCAAAATAATTCAGGGGTTTGATTACTGTGATTATATACGATGGTAACCTTTCTCCCTGTATTTGTGAAGAGTACTGACGTCAGAGAGGATTTCACTTCTTAAAGAGTATTAAATTTTTACATGGAAATTTATTCTGAARTTAGCCAGATGTTGGCTCCCTCCATGTAGAATTTGGGGGTAGTATGTGTTGAGCTACCTTACTTCACCTCTTTAATGACCTTAGTTTTGTTGCACGTTTCTGTGAGATTTGCCTGCAAAGATACGTAATAAGAAATAACACTTCTCTGCAAGTTTTCCGTGTAGCCAGATCCTTTATCTGTCAGCATGTTTGTCAGCGTTTCTAAATTTAAACTGAGGGAGAGGCAGGAAATTTCCTGATGCAAAAAAATACAGGAAGAGTACTATAAAAATATGAATGCTATCAAAGTAATATGCAATGTAATGTCCTTGTCTGGACACTTCTTTGTCTTTACAATAAGAATTTAATTTAATGTTCTCAAACTCCAGGCATGTACTAGTGCGTGGATTATCCTTCCTTTCTTACGGATGTGAGGTGGGCTTGTACGTGTACAGATAAAAGCTCCCCTCTCTTCATCTTTCCAGCAGGTAAAAAACGCTGAGCATCTTTGATTCCAGCAGAAGCGAGGGGGAGGAAGCATCTTGTAGGAAAAGCCCGGGCTTACTTCTCCAAAGCCATCAGGCAGTCTTTGATTAAATCTCGTCCTCTTGACTGGAAGTCTTGTACCTGAGCTGCCTTCTCCCAGCAAATGACACAGACTTTAACTGCTTCATGTAAAATAAGGAGGACTAATTACTCTGAGGATTTTACCTCTGTGTTTTCCAGTCCCTGTGCCTAATACACCATTCACTAATGCTCTTTTTAATTTTTTTTCCTGTAGAAGTGCACTGACCTCTTTCCATCTGCCACCCTTGTCTTATAAATGCACCTAGCACATATATCCACAAGGCACTGAGAGCTCTCCCCATAACAGTGTTTTCTCTAGCAGGTTATCATATTGCACCCTCCTCCAAGATGCTTCCATAGGGTTTGGGCAGCCACTTGATTTGAATTCATTTTCCCACCGCTCCCTCTCCCCTGTTCCAAATAAAGCACATCAGAGGGCAAATGTGGTACTGCTGGTAGATGTGTAGCTACTGTTGTATTGTGAGTTTTGTTTTGTTTTTTTGCCAGCTACTTGACATTGTTTTACAGCTGGACTCTGTGGCTATTTCCAAAAGGCTCAGCTAATTCTGTTGTCCTTTTTTTATCAAGGAAATTCTTGAGAAGCCACAATAAAGCAGCTGTAACCCTGGCGATGCTCGCAACCAGGACCAAAAATAGAAATCAGCGCTTCATGCATTTTCTTAATGAGGGTATAGGGTTTTTTTTCAGTGTGGTCCTTGACACTTAGCCAAGTCAGGGCTTGGCTCTAAATGTTTAGTGCAAGCTTTATAAATAGCCATAGATAGACGGGGCTCATCTTTTCCCAGAGCTCTCCCATTCGGGCCTGCCTCACTGCCAGGGAAGGGTTTGCAATGAGCCGTCTTGGATGTAGTTGCAGAAAGGACCTGGTGCTCCCTGGGAGGTGCCCATCACCTCGACTTCCYATCACCTCCTATGAGGGGACTCGGCATCTCACAGAATACAGGCCATAAGCTGCTGCTAATAACTGCCTCCGTGGCCCTTTTGCTTATGGATAGAATTGATTTGGCCTTCGACCATTACTGATAGCATAGAGGGGATGCATAAAAATCCAGTTATGGGGACAAATATGAAACAGTGGTTTACTTGCCAACTCTAAATAGGAGTTTACAAATGCAATTTTTCTCTGTGCCGCAGAACATGGTCAGTAATGGGTATGAAGTGGCTCGGTCCTGCAAGTTCACAATGTTCCCACAGGCAGAGGAGAAAGTTGAGCAAAGATAAGTGAAACTTGAGGAAAGTTCAGTCAACAAACCAAGAAGTGCAGGCATACTGATTTATAAGGATACTATAACTTTTAAACGTGTACTTTCAATCTGAAGGACTGCAGTAGGGCTTTAAAATATGACTATTTAATTTTTTAAAATTACATAAATTAAGTGAACAGCCCATTAATGGGATGCCATCAGGATCACATGGACAATTCAGTTCAAGTTATATTATCTTGCCAGCCAGATTTGAATAAGAATTAAGAAATTACTATTCAAAGTAGTACGGGACATTGATCCTCATTCGCAATGAAATTCGTCACYATAACTACCTGGAATTCCACTGCTTTCATAGTGGTATTCCACTGAATCTTCTTTATGGTGCAACTAGAAGGGAATTGTATTAGTCAGAGGAAAAAAGCCACTAATTAGTTGTTCTGCCTACATGTTCAATGAAGTCTTGTCTTGCAGCAAGCTTGTAAGAAGCAAGGCATGTCTAATGAACAGTAACCCACATCTAGCAGACAGTGAACTCCCTTACTCAAGTCCATCCCTTGACTAAAAATTCATCTCAGGAGCTATTCATCTGTYCGAGCAAAAGGAGCCTCTTATTTAGGAGGCTTTGTACTTGTAATATGCTTATTATTTGAACCTGGCAGATCTTTGCATATGTGTTAAGTAGTATACTTTAGGAGTAAAGTGCTATTCTCTGTGAAGTTTTTTTCTCTCTCTTTCTCTTCTAAACCCTAATCACTTAAGTTCCTCATTATATACAACTTAAGAATTTACTACTTGCAACCTGGGAAACCTGTCAAAAAAAAATGAAAAATAACAGTGAAGTTTAGTGTTGCTGGTGTGGAAAAATACATGAGGAATAGCACAAAGAGCAGCTCAGAATGGTTCAGCAACTGATGTTACAGTTTAGAGAAGCAAAGCCAATGTCCATAATGATACTTGCTGTTTATTTTATAAATATTAACTTGAACATGTAACAGTATTTTTTGTTTGACTTTACTCTGGTGTCTTTCTGGAGTCTCATTCGCCTGATCATGAAAATGTGAAATTGGAGTCTAATCCTGCCTTTGCCCCTTTTCTTCTCCAGTGTAAAGGCAGTGACTTACCATTAGTCTGTACTGGCATAAATGAGTGGGGACTAGGCTTGTTTCAGCAGGCTGAGACCAAAACCTTTTTCTAGCAGGGAACGCTTGGAAAGGCGATTGCTGAGTATTTGTGTTGTTGAGCCTTTACAGAATGCAATAGTTGTACATAAGCTGTAAAATTAACCCACCAGGTAACTTAAATTCTGCACATGTACTAAAATTAGCATTTCGGAGCTTGCAGTCTGCCGAAAGCATTACAATAAATGGTAGTGAATGCTCCTATTTCTCACCTTTAGCAGGTATTTCATGGGCTGCTGTATGTATACCTGATGCAACACAGATGTGTTCCCTTGAGAAAACTGGCAAATGGGATGTGTGTTGTCTTATCCATACCAGGGCTCACAAAGGTCACTAATGAGTATTTGCTATAAAAATGTAGTAGCACTGTATGGGTATGCAAAAATTAAAATATTAAAAGCAGCTATGCTATGAAATTCAACAGCCTACTACTCACTGCTGGCTTACCTGTATTTTTAGATAAAACCAAACTTTTTTTCATATAAGCTCTGTAGAGTTCTTGCTTGAGTGTCTTTTCACTGCTAGTGCCTTACCAGAGATATACCAGAAAGTGTATTCTCATAGATTTTGTAGCTATGAATGCAAGCAAAAGAGCCTGAAAGCTCAGAGGAGAACTGCCCAGGTAAGGTCTGAGTTCTGATTTTTCAATCCCAAGTGACTAAGATAATTTCTTTAGCAAAGCAGCTAGTTATTTGTATGATGAGCTGAATTTGACCACAAGTGTAAACCTCTTGATTTAGCTACTTTGCTAAAATTATCTTGAATAATATTTTCTGAAACAGAGTATTTAGCTCACTATAAGCATGGACATTTCATTTCAGAAGGTTGTTTGGTATCAGTGTTCTGGTCTTGAAGCTTAAATTCCCTTTTAGTGGGAAGCAGTAGATAAGAGCATAGTTCTACTGACATTTTTAAGTTACCATCTTAAAAAGAAAACTGGAGAGCAAATTTATACCCTGAAAATTCAGAGTTTCCTGTATCACCAACTACAACTGAATGTTTGTTATTTTTTTAAAAAATCCTTTGTAATCATTATCTGTAAACATAAGCTTCAATTTTGTGATCATTTACTAAAGTGATGTGGAAGTATTATGAAAAGAAATTGCATCTTAAAGGTTGATGTGGAATCTGAGCTCAACATACTTTAATATCTTCTGAATTTTTTAAAAAAGTAATTCTTATCTGTCTGATCATGTAGTAGAAGTCTGTGGTCTTTCCTGTAGTATGAAGTTTTTTGTTTTGTTTTTACAAGATGTCAAGTTATTTTGTTTGTGGTGTGGGAACACCTAGAAATTTCTGTCCCTTTGTGCTAAGCAAAATGCAAGCGTGTATCAAAATGAGTATATCTGACTCAGCTGAAACTGATTTTTTTTAAAGTTTTTCTCTGAAATTCMCTTATCTCTTACCTGTGTTTTCTCCTTTAAAACATTTGTGTCGTCGTCTTTAAAGATTTACATTTTTGCTGGCTTCGAATACCCTCATCCTGCGTGTAGAGCTCTGCTCATCTGGTCAGGGAAGAGGAGCCATGCAGTGTGTTTTATGTGAGTAATCACAGCCTACAAAATCCAGAATAGATTTGTTTTCAGGATCAATAAAACTTTATTTTACTTCACTAAAAATTAAGCAAACTAAATCTAAGGAAGATGCAACCAGGAAAGACTAGGGAAAATTACTTGGAAGAGATGGGGATGGGGAGTGTTTTTAAAATGGCCATTTAGGAGGTAGCTGGTAAGCTTTTTACATGTGTCAGAGGGCAAGTCTTTGRGCTTTCTCTTCCCTTGCCTCTCATCTCAGTTTTGTGTGTCTGAAGGAATTGGAAAATGGGCTTATATGGCACTGGGTAGGAGAATGCACAAGGCACGTGGCCCATTGCTGCATGGGGGCATCTTTGCTTTGTGACTGAGCAGGTTGTCCCGTATCAACCCGAGCACCTCGGYGAGGCCCTTGGCTGAGCACAGAAATGTTTTTGCTTGTGGGGACCCACGCTCGTGTGACATGAGTGCCCTGAGCAAAGATCCTGTTCTGTCCTTTCCCCTGGAAAACGTCTTGTAAGCTGCTGCTTTTCCGTTTACCACCAAGCTGTGCTGAATCGCATAGCTCTGGAAAAGAACTAACACTTCAGTTGTGACTTGGCCTGGGGTTCATTTTTTTCCTGGTGCTTTGAGCTTCAGCCCAAGGGAGTGCTTGAGCATAGGTTCGAACCTGTCACCGCTCAGGAGGGCATACGAGGCCATGCGTGTGTTTAGGCCTGCTTGGGACGAGCTGCAGTGTTTTCTATGCTCAGATCGCATCCTTTTAGCAGCCCTGGGGGAGAAGGACATGGGGCAGGGAGGTGGGTGAGCTGGTGCTTGCAGTGAGGCTCAGGGGGTAACTCCTGCTGGACCCTGGTTTGTGGCTCCACAAGGACTGTGGCAGAGCCAAGAACTCATGGCTGAGGCCCTCGTTTGAGGGGGAGAAGGAGCAACCCGYGGTGGAGCAGAGCGGGTGCCCTCGTTGTGCTGTGTCTGCAGTAATGCGGTGCTGTGGCAGCAGCTGCCCTCTTCAAACAGCTCCATGTCCTTCCCTCCCTGTAGAGYGAGCTGCCCAGATTTGCAGTTTATAAAACTGGGGCAGCCTAGCAGGGGACAGGGTTGTTGGCGAGCCATCTTCGGGGGATAATAATATCGGTAATGGGCTGGCTGCCACGGCAATTGCAGGGGAGGGGGAACGGCAGCGTGCGCGGGCGGCGAGGGCCTGCRCGCTCCCGCATGGAGCGGCGCTCCCGCATGGAGCCTTGCTCCCGGGAGGTGACGCGGCCTGGGCCTTGTGCTGCCGTCAGCGCTCGCCCTCAGCGGCGCGCGTGGGGGAGAAGGGCTGCGCCGATGGGCTTGGATAAATAAGCACGGCCAGCGAGGATGCTTTCAAGCTCGGATTGCGCTGAGTTTTGCCGAGAAGTAAAATATTGTTGATAACAAAAAGAAATCGCTCCGTTGGGAGCGGTGTTTTTCTTTTTATGCYACGCATCCCTCTCTGTCCCAGGCACCCAAGCGTGGCTCCCCTGGCTTCTCCTGTCCCATCTGCTCCAGCAGAGCTCCAGTTTGTTGACTT